TTGTAGTTTCATATTTAAAAAAGTTGCTCATTATTTCATTTTTGCAATCATTTAATATTTCTACATTAAAATGTTGTATTTAAACTTAACATAACTCATGCAATATCCATCTATGGATTTTGTTTATAGTGATTTAATTTGATTGTTAATAGCCAACATGTTTTTTTTATTCAGATTGAATTTATTAAATTTAAGAATCTGACATGAAAGGACACAGATATGACAATACATTTTCATAATAATACATCTCTTAGTTTTTTTCTGCTCAGTGTTATTTCAGGGTTTTGATCTCTCAACTGAGAGATTTATTGTTTATTGTATTATAGTGACTATTTAATATTACATCTAAACTTTGACTAGGCTAGACATGTTGCCTATTAATTTTATACAGTATATGAACCTGAAAGCATATTTAAATTTTTGTAATAATTTGTAGTAGGAATGGGGCCCAAACATAACCTCAAGCCCAGGGCCCCTGGCCCCGTAAGTCCTGCCCTGCTCATACTGTAACACCTTCATGTTCCTGCAGTCTGTTAGATGTGCAGAATCTCTGTGTCTCATGTGTCAGGTGTTAAAAATACTCTTCACACACCTCTACCACCATGCACTGTAAAAAATAATCCTGTGTATTTACAGTACGTTACTGTAGAAAAACACTGGCAGCTGTGGATGACAGAAATTCACTGTAAAAATATGTTGATGGCATTTCAGACGCACTGAATCTACTTTAAAACTATTTTCACTCAGAAATTGCTAGTCAACTTCAAAAATACAAAAAAGCAGCAAATACTTTGAATGAAATATGAAAAATATAATTTCCTTGCAAAACATTCTCCAAATAATATTTATTTTATTTACTTATTATTTCCAGTGCATTATGGGGCAACAGTTCGGTGCACAAAACTCTAAACAAGACACTAAAATAATGCAGTAAACACAGAAAATATAATATAAAACAAAACCAAGAAGCAACATTACTTTAAAAATGTAATAACAAAGTGTAACCAAATGTGATGCATCATGGAGGGAATTCTGAGAACATCTGGTTTTACTGTTTGCTTCTCCTGTAGAAATACACCTTCAGCATGTATAATGTCAGTCTGATCAACTCAGAAGAGACAGAATTAGAGATGATCATATGTTGGCCAACGGCGCCTGCTAGTGCTTCTCTAATTCAATGCATGTTGTTGGGAACATCTGAGAGAGAAAAAATAAAAAATGTCACAAGGCCCTAAAGCTGCAAACTATGAAAGCTTGTTTCCAACACCAATACAAATTTAATTTATTACACAATTCTGAATTTTGTTTGCAAAACATCTCACAATGTTTCCATCTAATATGTAGTTTGAGCTGCAGGTCATCATTTTAATGGAGTGTTTCACTAGTTAGCAGGTACCTCACCTGATTATGTTCTAGATTTGTGTTGGATGTTATCTTTGGAATAGAAATATGGATATTTTATTTGCAAACATCATACTTTTTTTCCGATTATTTCAGTTAATCTCATAAAACTAGTGAGTTAAGCCAGTAGTAGTGCTGACAGTGTCGTGCAAACATGACTGAAGACGAGAAAAGAGGAACAGACGAACCGATTCAATTGAGTGAGTCATTTACGCTGGAACCGCGTCGATTGATTCGAACTCGTGAGTCGTGACTTCGATTATTCAGTCCAAGCGATTCACTAGCAAAAGCCAGTTCAAAAGAGACATTCATTTTCGTATTACGACATCGCTTAAAAAGCTCGTAGTGATGGGTGAAACTGAGCTTTTCGAAACTCCGAATCAGTTAAAAAAAATTGCGTCGCAAAATGATTCCCTGTTTCGAAGCGCTCTAATCGCGAATCATTTGGTTCAGATCGGGACTACGGAGCGGGTTCGGGAATCCTTGATCTTCTATTATTAAACAGTACAACACATCAAACAATTAAGACAGTACACTTATAAAAACTAAACACAGAAAAAATAAACTATACACAGATACAAGGTTAAAAAAAGCAATAAATTCACCTTAAGAGGACACATAGGATGAATACAGAGATACAGTTTTCACTGCTTTAGGATTAACATAACCTAACTTTGGATAGTTTCCATATAGACTTGTCTAGATCAACCTTGAATAAAGAAAAGAGAGGTTTAGAGCCAGTACATTTAAGAAAAGTCATCTTTTGTTCCCTTGGTATTGCTTATTTTTTTGACCCATGACAGAAGTGGCATAATGCCAGTGGGTTTCTATGTAAATTAAGCTCAAGTATTCTAGGTTGATCTGTCTTGAACTGGTTTTAAACTGCTGGACGTTTGCCTGCTCACATGTAGAAACACACTGGAGAATCTCATGGAGTTGCTGCTGAGCGACGGCACATTCTGGTCTCTGTGAACAGAGTCTCACTGTGGTTTAGTACAGTACGTGTTTTATTCAGCATCATGTCAATATATCAGCAGCTCAGACTCTCTCACACGTACTGATTTCACTGTATTTCCTGTCACAGAGGAACTTAACCGCTGAGAAACACAGAGGGACATTCAGAGAGAAATCCAGGGGAAATTAAAAGGACAATTTAAAGGCTGAGCGCATGTTAAGCACACACATGGGCTATACCACGCTCCAGCAGCGGCTCCTCACACTCTCACAGCACTGGGCTTGTGTTTCAGAGACCGGTGACTGTGAGGGAGTCTGCTTAAGCTGCTCTCTGTCACTGTGATCTATGATCTTCAGCCATGTTTAAATCAACATGTGTTCTGAACTAAACATGGGAGAGCGGGGCATGTTGTCACACTTTACACTGCAGTGAAAATCTCTCGGGACGGGTTTAGTCGCTTTCTTTTGAGAGAATGCGTTTGAGCTTGATAAAAATAAAGAAATAATATTCTAACAATAATATATTATTCTAATCTAATATTTTAGAATAAATACGTAAATAAAATTAATAGATTGTAAACTATTTGTCTAAATAAATAAATATAGTTTTCATAAGAAATAAATGAATAAGTAAATGAAAAACAAATAAACAAGTAAATAAAATAGTTTTCATACATATTAATAATAATTATGATATTCTAATAATATCATATTATTGTTATTATATCAAATAAATATGTAAATAAAATCAATAAATTAAAATTCAAACAATTTGTCTAAATAAATAAATATAGTTTTCATAAGAAATAAATGAATAAGTAAATGAAAAACACATAAATAAATAAAATAGTTTTCATACATATTAATAATTGTTATTATATTCTAATAATATCATATTATTATTATTATATAATATTTCAGAATAAATCAATAAATCAATAAATTAAAATTCAAACAATTTGTCTAAATAAATAAATATAGTTTTCAGAATAAATAAAGAAATGAATAAGTAAATGAAAAACAAATATACAAGCAACTAAAACAGTTTTCATAAATTATAAATAAATCAGTTTTCATAATGAGATCCTGTCATTAAAATCCTATTGCTGGCTTTTCAGCAAAATCAGTATTAACAATTATGCAGCACAAATGATTTTTAAAAATGTAATTGATTATAGCATAAATACTGATTTAATATATCTTGCATCTATCCACATTCCTTTGCATAATTTGTCTATAGCACATCTGTACATACGATACTGTTTACTGTCTCTTTGTCTATTGCGTATTGTTTTTTACATATTTATTTTTACTCACTTATTTTATTTTGTCATCAGTGTTTCGTCGCTTGTCAGCCAGTCTGTGCTCTGGAAGCTTCTGTCACCAAGACCTGTGTGTGTAAGCACTCTTGACATTAAAGCTCTTTCTGGTTCTGATTCTGAACGCATAAAACACGGCATCTTAATACAATTCTGCATCTGTGCATAACATGACAATTATTAACCTGAAAACACAGTTCAACCTTCAGTTACAGTTATAATGTGTATTATTCTGTTCCCTTATGACATTATATTACTGTTTTATGTTGGACGACAGACCAAAATGAATTTAATATATCACAGTTTTGAACTAGATGTTTGAAACCAACATAGAAAACGTATGTGACAACTAGCCCCGGATAGAAAGACAGAAGGGCATTTCTTTCAGCGTGTTTGCATGAGTGGTTAGTTCTTCCCAAAGCGATCAATTAAAAGTAGTCTTCCGGAGGCTCTTGTGTACTCGTTTGTTCCTGAAGTAGGTCAGTGGAGCATCAATGCTGCATTAATGTGCTCAAATTAGCCTCATCAGACCCAGCAGAACAAACATCAGTGCATCGGGCCCAATTAAAAGATCAGCACACACAGAACAAGAATAGGGGACTGAACACACAGAGATTAGTGTTAGGAGGCTGCAGATAATCAGCTTTACTGAAGCCTGTCTGACCAACCGATGCACACACACATCAGCGTCTGCTCTCCTGAAAAATGGGGCATGTGAAGAGGAAGGCTTATTTAATTAACCAATAAAGCTATTTTTATTATAGAAGTACTTTATACTATGACCGCTAGATGGCGCTACGCACTTATTAATATGCATATAAGCTTTCAGTGATAAACTGTTGCATCTGAAATTGTTAATAAAGTAATAAAACTCAAGACACTTCCCTACAGAGCATGAGAAACTTCAGACACACTGCAGTTACATAAACACATCAATATTTTCTTTCTCAGATTCATTTAACCAATGATACAGGATGAGATATAAAGTCTTGTTTTCTGTAAAAACTTATTAAAATTAAGTGACAGATATCTGCCAGTAGAGTTGGAAAAATTATCGTGTTTTGCATTTGAATTAATTTTTCTGATCGCACTTATGATGAGTGGAAAAAGGAGGCATGCATGTAAATGAGCGGCTGCTGTTATTCTGGGCACATAACGGTGCATTCAATACCTGGAGCGCAGCTCTGTTATAATATTCAGCCTACGCGATGATTGACATCCGCTTCATCCAATCAGCACCCGAGTCGATGACTTTACACTAGAACTGGGAGCCAGAGAGGGGCGGGGTCAGGCACAGACAGCCAATGGCAGGACAGGAGGGCGGGAGCTTTCTCATCTCGGGCTTTTGTTCTCCGTCGGGGCAGTAAAGTGAAGTTTGGGCAGCGTTATTCCGCGGGACATCCCGTATCAGAATCACAGGGATAGCATTAGAGCTGCTTTATTTCCTTGAGGAAAAGCTCTCAGGAGGATTTAATCGCAGCGAGCTTTCCTTTTCCTCGCAATGGAAACTCCATCATCATCATCATCATCATCATCATCATCAATGATCTTGAGAGGAACGCGAAGTTTTGCTGGATGAATGCTGACAGGATTTTACAGCGAATGAACCCCTTCTCCTCCCTAAAACGGGTTTTTAAGGATATCCCCGCGGATCTACAACTCTCTTTAGGAACTCTTTAGCAGAACTTTACCTCAAGTGTGTTTGAAACGGCAAGCGCGCTCTGGATACATTTCCTTTGATCGCTCTTTTTTTTTTGGATACAATGTTGCGAATCTGAGGTGAATGTATCAGGCTCGGAGAAACCCTGACTGTGATCATGGCGCTCTCAGGTAGATCTCTGGACACTTTGCACCTCATTTTATTCGTTTTATGGACTTTATCGCGCTACTCTTTATCCAGTCAAGTTCGGCAGGAGTTTGAGGTTCTGGAGGAGCAGCCGGTGGGCACATATGTGGGCACCATCGACACCAAACCCTCTTTCACATACAGATTCAGCGAACACCACAAACTTTTTTCCATCAACGCCACGACGGGCGTCATCTACACGTCCTCCGTGATCGACAGAGAAGTTCTGTCTAGTAACATCATTAATGTGGTGGTTCTCTCCAGCCAGCCCACTTACCCCACCGAGGTGCGCATCGTGGTTTTGGATATTAACGACAACGCGCCGGTGTTTCCTGACGCGTCCATCGTGGTGTCGTTCAAAGAAGACGCGAGCAGCGGGCGTCAGGTGATTCTGGACACCGCGACGGACGCGGACATCGGGAGTAACGGAGTGGATCACACCACCTACCGAATCGTCAGCGGGAACGATCAGCGAAAGTTTCGCTTGGATATCACCGTCAACCCGAGCGGAGAGGGCGCGTTTCTGCACCTGGTCTCCACAGGGGGGCTGGACAGAGAATTAACCCCCTTCTATCAGCTCCTCATCCAAGTGGAAGACAAAGGAGAGCCCAAAAAGTTTGGGTTTCTGCAGGTAAACGTCACCATTCAGGATATAAACGACAACCCGCCTGCTTTTGACCAGGATCAGTACCAGACCAGTGTGTTCGAGGACACTGCAATTGGCTCTAGTGTTCTGCAGATAACAGCCACAGATCTGGACGAGGGTGCAAATGCTGATATAACATATATTTTAGATGAGGGAACTCCTTTTCAGATTGACCCTAAAGCTGGGACTGTTATTATAAAGGAGGGGTTGGATTATGAGACAAAGAAAGAGTATTCCCTCACTATCCATGCAGTAGACAACGGCGTCCCCTCTCTCTCAGGCAGGTCAGAAGCGACTATAAAACTGCTCGATGTGAATGACAACGACCCCGTTGTTAAATTTCGATACTTCCCTACCACGTCCAAATTCGCTTCGGTGGATGAGAATGCACAGGTGGGCACCGTAGTGGCTCTTTTGACCGTTTCCGATTCAGATTCATCCACGGCTAATGGTAATATTTCCGTTTCTATACTTGGCGGAAACGAACAGAGACACTTTGAAGTTCAC